AGGCAAACGCCATCCGAGGTGCCGCAGCTGTAGGCGGGGAGCACGGGCCACCACCAGCTCAGCACGTCCTCTTCCTCATCAGATCCAAGCGGCAACGCTAGAGCTGCCTCCTCCAGGCAGTCGCTCCCAGCTCCTTCCGTCTTCTGCCAATACCTCACCCTCCCCAGAAGAGTGAAAACCTGGCTCAGCAGCCCCACAAGGTCAGGTCCTCTGAACTTCAGCCTCCCCGGAGCAGCCCATGAGGCCCCCAAACTCAATGAAGCCTTCAACCTCCAAGCCCCCCCTCCTGAAAGCAGCTCTCTTGCTGCAGGGAGAAGCGCCCCAAAAATGTTTACCCAACTGCAAAGACCCCATCAGACAAGCAGTGCTGCTCTGGCCAAGTCCTTCCCATTGCCGCCTGCCCGCCCGCCGCCAGCCTCTCTGCTCCAGAGGGCACAGGAGAGCGGACGGAGCTTGGACAGTGAGAAAAGCCACTGGAAATTAGAGGAGAAGAAAGCCACCAGAGCACGGCTCGGTCACTCCTCAGCAAGGTTCCTCCTCTTCCACCCCGAGGTCAAGCTCAGCCCATGCTGAGCAGAGACCCTGAGGAAGGTGTTTCTGCCTGGACTTCAAAACACGAAGAGACCACTTCAGTGAGCTGGAAGCAGCAGTTCTCACGCTTCCTCGGGTCTGCTCCTCCCTGCAGCGGAGAGGAGCACGTTGCCTTCAAAAAAACTCCTTTATGCTCATTTTTCAGAGACTCGGCCTGAATCTACAGCAGCCTAAAGCTTCACCTTGATTTGGGATTTTGCCCAGGCTTCACAGGATAAGCACTGATGCTGTGTGACCTAAGGACAGACTAAAGGGCACAGACTCCCTTCCTAAGCTGAGTATTTTAGCCCCAAAACGGTGAGAGGTTCCATGTCAAGCTACAGCCCATGCAAGATCAGCACCGTCCCACCACCCAGTCCTCTGCTCCCTGACTGCTCAGTCCAGCTGAAACATTGAACAGATTTTACCAGCCAGGATATGCTCAACAGCAACGTTGGCAAAAAAAAAAAAAAAAAAAGGGTATTTTAGAAAATAAATTATTTTCAGCAGTTACAGCTGAAGAACAAAAGGCCGAAGCTAGACAACCTGAAATTAAAAAAATAATGAAAAGAACTTACCACTTGAGAAGGGATTAGCTCTGATGCAAGTTAATGAGACACGTGCATTTTCCTCTGCTGAGAAAAAGAAAAGAAACCCAGTCTGCAGCTGTAAGACGGGTGTGATTGCAGAACTGCCCCGTCTGCTATCACACTAATCTCTCCCGACACTAAAAACCTAAAATTTCAGAATAAAATTTCTCCTGGGCTCTGACAGACAGGACCCACGGAACAACACAGAATACCCAGATTTATGGCAGTTCCCGGCAGAGAAATTTCAGCTTCTTTATTTAGGGTTTTTCTTCCCAGAAGCCCTTCGAGAAAGCAGAAAGGACTTACCCTTACATCGCAAAGAAACACCCCCCAAATCCCCCAGGGCTTTCCAGGAGGACAGCGCAGCTCCAGCAGCATCAGCTCCAACACCACCATCTTCTTTTTTTAAGGCATGGAAAACCGAGAGGATAAAATTCATTGTAGCCATGGCAATGGAGCAGTGGACACGGGGAGAAACCATCATCACTGTGGCCATCTGCCGCCCACCACGTGAGTCTCCAAATTACTTTTCCCTTTCTCCCCGCCCCAATCCAGCTCATCTGATTAATTAAGCAAGAGGCGAACCTTACAACTGAGACACATCCCCCCGAAACATCAACATCCCTCCCCGCCCCCAAAAAAAGCAATACTCCAAAGAATGCCAAGGTATAAGGGGTTACAAATATTCAGACTTTATTATAAATAAGAAATACTGTTTTATACATAAAAACTGCAAGTGTTGCATTTTGTTCACCGCCCCAGACAGCAAGACCACAGATTAAGGCAAAAAGCTGGAGTGAAGGCACGTACTGAGGGGGCCACAGTCAGGACTAAGGTGATGAAGGGACTGTCACGCGTTGCCCGTGACATCCAGCACTCCACCAGCAGCTGTCACGTCATCACATTACGTAAAGAAATAACTGGACTTATACAATGAATAATGGCTGTAATGCAGTAGTGATTAAGAGATCGCTTATAAAGATTTTTTTTTTTATTTAAAAATAAAATTCTGTTAAAAACAGCTTAAAAAAAAAAAAAAGAGAGAGAAGAAAGCAGGAAACCTTAGGCCTGAGGTCAGCCAGGGCATGCGTGCATCTTCGCATCTGCTCTTCTCACAGCCTTGGCAGAGGTGATGCGGTTACAGCCAGCCATCTGACCAGAGCAGCCGGCCACGACACCGACCTCAACGCCCCACGCGCGTGGGCCGGCACAGGTAAGCTCTCCTCTGGCTACTAGGTGTGTTTGCAGGGGGAAATCCCGAGCTGGTGAACTGTAAGAATCTCTAAGAGAAGGGGTACAAGAGCGATGCGGGGTTTGCTGGGAACACCCCCCCGCCCAGCAGCGCCGTTCCCGAGGGGGCACCAAGCCTCCCGCCTCGCACAGTGGTATCAAGATGTCCCCAAATCCAGCTCTCCGACCACCTCAATGCTGGGTCCGGTCTCCCGACAGCGCTACCGCTCCTCCCAGCCCAGCTGCACAGCCACAGCCCCCACCCTCCTCCTGGCACAACGTCCCTGGGGACGAGGACACAAGGATGGAGTGCTGCGAACACCACGCATCAGGGCTGGCTTTGGAGGGAGGGCGAGAAAGCGTCCACCCAACGGGCAAAGCGGTTATTGCTGACGCCCGTATGGGTGCTGAGGATACGGGAGAGGGAAGAAAGCAGGAGCCCAGCTAGGAGAAACACCGAGCTCTAAGGGAATAATACGGAGAGAAGCGATATACGGTCCACGCGCCTCGATGGCTATAGGGGAAAGCACATAGAGGAGGCCAGGCTGTGCCACTCTGGAAATATGGCTGAGTATATTTACACACACATACGCACACACGAGAGACTTCCTCACACTATAATCATGATTAAAAAAAAAAAAACGGAAAAAAAAAAATAAATCACATTCACACAAAAAATACAAATTTGAAATAATTAATAGCACCAGTGTGTGTCAGATAATAATTTCTTCCCCGCTACGCAAACGTACGAAGTTGCATAGTGTTTAAGGATAGATATATACTGGATCTCAGGGAGGGGGCGGGGGGTGCCAGGCTGGAGGCAAGGAGGAAGCCGCAGAGGATGCTCTTGTCTCAGAAGAGGGCCGGAGGGGGAGCGAGGGGCTCCCCGCCACTCCCACCCAGCACCAGTAAGCAGCTGGGAAGCACTACCTGGGGAGGGAGCCTGCCGCGGAGGTGGCAGCAGCGGTGTGAAAGGCAGAATTGCCACCCGAGCCTGGCCTCAAGTCGCTGTGCTGTGGTGGCATTAGGGTGACCGGGAGATCGGTAGGCAAAAAGAAAGGAGGGCACTGGTAAAGTCCAGCTCTTTCTGCAAGGTTAAGACAGGCAAAAGGCAAGAGCGATGCCAGGAGATATAAAAATGCCACTGTCCTCCTCCAGGAAGAAGATGGGGAGAAAGACCTTTTCATTTCCACCTGCACATCCTCTTCCTTCCCTACCCAAAGACATTCAGTATGAAGGCCAGCGCAGCTGTCAGAGCTCTCTGGATGGCAGCTCTCCTCTTCAGCAAGACTTTTCCTGCTTGAGCAAACTAATCTGTCAATCAGACATTCACAGCCTAAAGAAGATGATCCTCTGGCAATTCAATAGCAACACCTACCGAGGGGAACGCAGCTCATGGCTTCCACGCTCCCCAGCCTGGACTACCCAGCAGGTAGCTGCTTACAGACCTGACCCAAAACTTCACAGACCAGGAGCGGGGCTGGCAAGACCTACCACTCCACCAGTAAAGACCTACCCTTCCACCAGTATCTCATCTTCCCAAAGAGCTCCTCTCAGAGGCTGCGTTTTTCTCAGAGCGATGCATCATCACAGAAAGCATTTCAGAAAGAGGCTTCGGCTATTTTGTCAAAGGCTACCAATGCTGTCGATTGGCCACTAGTTAACGATTAAAAAAAAAAAATTCACAGGGTTAGAAGCTGGGAAGAGGGATCTGAATGAGTGCAGCTATACTGGCCGTTACAGTAATACTTTGGTAGCCATCCCCTTCCTTCATAGGGACAGAGAGCTCCAGGACTGAGGATTTTACAGTCGAGGGGAGAAGAGAGGAGAGAAAATAGGGTTAGTTTTGCCTTGCTGTATACAGCTCACATGGTTATTTCTGAACCACAGTATAAAGAGTCCAGAGCATCTCTCATCCTTGTGCTAATCAAAGGGAAACTGTGTCTGAGAGAGGGGCAAAGGCAGAGTGCTCAGGAAGACAGTTTATATAAAAAACCCCCTTGATGCCCAAAGACGGATATTTAATTTGCTTCTCTCAAAAAAACAAAACAAAACAAAAAAACCCAAAGAACTTTCAACTTATCCTGATTTGAAAAGAAAACAGTGGCTGTGAGCAGCAAAGAGTTGGGGATTTGAAGAAGGTAATGTGTGTTAAGGCACTCCATAGCCAAACCTCTGCTCCACCGCTCACCGGAGGAATACCCCCCACCCCAGTGCACCCTTAGGGTTTCTCAATGGACGGGGTGTTAAAACAGCCAGATGGCAAGGTCTTCTTGATGTCTTCCAGGTTGCTAATGTCCTTCAGGATCTCTTCAATGTCCCTATTGTAGGCCTGTATCGCATCATCTTGCTTCCTGGCTTCTCTTTCAAGGAAAGAGACTTTCTGGTCCAGATTGCTGTCTTTCATCTGGTCTTTGGCACTGTTCAGGGTACTCTCAATCTCATTCAGTTTGTTCAAGTCCACCGTCTCCAGTTGCCCTGAAAAGCCAGAAGCAAACAGCGAAGTCCATTAAAAAAAAAAAAACTTTTGACACACCGGTTTTGGGTGCTTACACAGCTGAGCCCATACCGAGACCTCCATCGGGTGCTCTCTGCATTAGAAACAGCATTTAAAACAGGACCAGCCAAACAGGTTACACCTTCGCTGCCTCAACAACGGTCCTCAGCTCACAGAAAAGCGGCACCGAACAGTGCACAACAAGCTTCGAGGCCACCCCGGGCGGGGAAAACCAAACAAAAACCCTTGCTGAGAACACGCAAACCCCATTTCTAGAAGTGAATAGACCCATTTGATTCATGGCACAGCACCGGCAGGGAAGCCAGCACACCACTCCAGCTGCTAGCACTGCAACGTCAGGCAGCAGGAAAACATTCAAAGGCGTAAGGCATATTGAGAACAGCCTTACCTAATTGATCGAGCAGATCATTAATGACGGCAAGCAAGCTGTTCACAGAGTTCTTCGCTTTTCTTGCGTTGTCTTCTGCCTCCTGGGCAGCCTGCGAGGCCTGCAGGGTATTAAAAAAAAAAAAAGGCTGAAGGGATTACGAAACCGTTGCCTCTCCTTCTCACACGTCTGCCCAAGCAGTTAGTCACACACATCCCTGGCTCCTCTCTCCAGGATAACACCCCTGCACTGAGATCTTTATCACAGTGCTGACAGAAGGCCTGACAACCTTCAAATAATAAGTTTTCTGATTATTTCAGGATGGGGATCCCTGATAACTGAGCAGGATTTTGCAGGAAAAGTCAGAACAGATTCAATAGGGCTACAGTCAGGTTGCAGTTAAAAGAAAAGTGTTGCATTAAGAAAACTGGCTCTCAAATTCCACAGGGAACCTATGCTAATGCCATCAGACGAGCTCTTTTGCTCGTCGCACGTTTTCAATCCCATTTAAAGCTTGAAAGAGACTGAACACTAGCTGGACCCAGTGCAAGAGGACAGCAGGGAGAAGGCAGTTTCTTGCCATTCTTGCCACCTGCCAGCATTACTTACCATGCCTGCCATCATCATATCCTGCTCAGCATCATCCTGCTTCCGCTTCAGCTCTTTTTCTGCATCCTGTAGCTGCTTCATCATGTCATCCACTTCTTTGGCCAGCCCCGTTACATCGGCGAAAGTCTTGTCAGCTTCGGCTTTGGTAGCAGCAGCACTCTACAGCCAACACGGGGAACAGGATGAAAAAAGGTGGTGAAGGTGCAGAATTTCCTTCAATCCTTTTCATTAAAACGCACCAAATTTCCTATACTGCCACATTTTGCATCCCGTAGTGGGGAAGAGAGCAGAAAGCACGTGGGGCTCACCAGGAAACACTGCAACAGAGGGGTTTATGCAGTTACACACCAATATCTTGGGGGGGTGGCTTCAGAACCACAAAGGACTCACCTTCTGAACAGAACCGGCGATTTTCTCAGCATCATCTGCTTTAGTCTTGGCTTCGCGGGCATCAGCAGCAGCATTGCCAAGCGCCAGCTCTGCCTGGCGCGTCTTGTTGTTGGCTTCAGCAATGGTCTGGGTAATGGCAGGAATCTTCTTCAGCGCCTCCTCTGCTGCTGTCTTGTTATCATTCACCCGCTTATCAAAATCTAAGAAAGGGCGAAAGAGATTCTTATCACTTGCTCCAGAAGAGCCTTGGGATGCTTCTTTGACCAAGCTACCCAGGTTTTGCCACCTTGGTATCAGAGGGACAAATTGCAAACTGGAGAGAGGGGTGGGGTATATGCTTGCAGCTCTCCCTATTACACGTCTTCTGACATTAAGTAAGGAACTTAAACAAAAGGAGATTTCTAGTCACTGAAAACATTTCTATTTTTCTTTAAAGAAAAAAAAAGGCAAAGAACCCACCCAACACTCAGGTACTGGCAATAGCGTGGCCCGTTTAACCAAGATACCCTACTGCCAAGAGACTTGTCACACAGGAATTGAAGGATTCACTGCAAGTGCTTTATCTTTACCTTTCAGGTTGCTGAGAATGGTATTAGCCTCTTGTAGTGTGCCATTGCCCTTCCGAGCAGCTTCTTCAGCCAGGGCTTTCGCTGCATCTGCTCGAGCCAAGAGCTGGTCTGCAGTCTAAGGAGACAGGACACGTATCAACGTATTCTTACCTTTTGAAGGACAACCATCTAGGTGAATCAAAAAGCATTGCTCAGCCTGAAACACCAACGCCATACAGAACAGCGTTCATCCCCGAGCAGTAATGCTTCCTCTGAAACCAGGTGAATTTAGGTACTTTTGGAATACTGTTCTGAATACAAAGACGACACCATACCTGGCAAACATCGCCCTATTCTCCCATACAGCCTCGAGCCATTGCTTTTACCAGCTTTTTGCATCTCCTTTCCAGGACCATTCTTCAGCATTCTCGAAAGTAACAAGCAGTGCTAAGAATGAGTAAGAATCTCTCCTATCTGTCCAGTTACTTGTTTTCCTTTGTTTTTTTCCAGGGAACAAAAAGTCTGCACAAAACCGAACTAACCTGCTGCTCCGTCTTCCCTTTCTCCAAGAGGTTCTTTACTTCTAGCTCTTTTCCTTTCATGTCTTCTCTCAAGTCCTCATAATCTTTCAGCTTCCTGGCAATTAGCTGATCTAACTCCTCCGCTTCCTTCTTGATCTTATTTGCTTCATTCTGCAGGTGGAAATCAGAAACAAAGGCAGATTCCTGAACATTAAAGAATTTCTGAACAGCTGGCAAAACACGGTATAGTTCCTAACAGTCAGAAGCTACAATGGGTTCCGTCTCTCACAACCACAGTTGTAACTTTGCCCTCAAAGCTCTCATGAGGGTCAGTGCAATGAAGGACAGAGGTTGCAAACAGTTATGTATGCAAGAAAATCTGCTGCAGTACAGTCAGCACAGGAGAGGGAATAGTTCTGCAGGCTTCGGAGAGAACTGAAATTTTTGCACTTCTCTGTTCAAGCCAGGATGTTTGGTAAACAACATTTCACTCAGGTTTTTTGTCCTTCAGAGACTGGGGGAGGAGGGGCTTTGCATATGTAGTTTCCTGCATGCAAGTCTCCTGTGTAAAAGCTGAAATGCACAATGTATGTCAGCAACCTAGCACACTGCTGTAACGCTTAGCCTCACTGATCTTTAGAAAATGCTGCACGTGATGCTTCCTGCACGTACCTCTAGCCCTGTGGAATCCACAGTAGGCAGACTGGTGAGATTAGCGTAGATCTGCAGGGCTTTGTTTCCAGCTTCCTCTGCCTCCGCAAGCACCTTGTTGGCCTGTTTCTCTAGGTCTCGAGAGATGTTCCTTGCTTGATTATACCTAATAAAACCCAAGGATCCAGTTATGCTAAATTTTTTTTTTTTTAAAGCTTACTATGAGAATAGAGAGGTTAAGAAATTGAAAGACAACTCCCATAAAACCCGAAGCATACAACGTTACAGAAGGCGTCTTAGTCTTAAGCACTGCTCTAAAGCCAGGAAATAAAAACTATTTTCTGTTACTGACTCACTTCTGGTTGAGCTCATCGATGTCATTTGCAGTTTGGTTCTCTCCAGCCAGGGTCTTCAGCAGCAGGTGATACGCTTCTGTGGAAGTATCATTTGCTGCCTTGGCTATGCGAACAATCTCATCAGCTTCTTTTTTGTGCCTGAACAAGATTACAGAAGAAAAATAATGCCATTAGAATCGTCAGCCAGTGGTTTCTATCCTTAATTCCGATTTTATTGTCTCTTCCAGATTTCACACTCTCTTACTTTTCCTTCCTTCACCCAGATTTGCATATGGAAGATGCTGTTTGAGATCATCTCTGCAACCAAGGCATCACTCCAGCAGTGCCCATGAGATCAGCTGAAAGGCACCGCTGTGGTTGTACATGTCCCTCGTTCACATGTCTAGTGTTTGCCCTCAGTGATACATAGACATGCACCCACGGTGCCAGTCTCTTACTCAGCAAAGGGCGTGTGTTTCCTATCAAGCAAGTTAAATTTTGCTTCTTCCTTGAAGGGAAAAGCAGGGCCCTGATGCGGGCTGTGAGGAGCATGTCTTGCCACAGCTTACCTTTCAGCCAGCTTACGGGCCTCTTCTGCCAATAGAGTCATGTTGTTAGGGTCCCCGCTTGACTCCGGAGGTGCAATGGACTGGAAAAAAAGAAAGGAGGAAAAAAAAACCCCACCTTAAAGCTCTTTTTTCATCTTTTATTCATCTTTGCTTTAAATATTTATTGTCATGATCTAAATGCTTAGAGATGTATCTAACCTACTTCTAACTTCTCTGTATTTTTTTTCTTAAGCCCATGCAGATTCCACCACAGGTTATCCACTAAAAACAAAGATGCTGATACTTATTTAGGTGTTCTTACATCGGTTTCTTTGAGCAGGGCCTAAGATAGAGTCTATGACAGACCCTGGTGATCTTCCATTATTTATTTTGCATGATCTTGGGCAGGGGAGAAGGTATTTCCAAAGCAAATTTGCTATATGAGAGAGAACAAGCAGAGAAACAGACCAGAGGGCACAGAAAGGAAAGTCTGTCTCCTAACCATGCAGGATCTTGGCAGCACACTCACCACGTTGTCAGCTGCCATCTTTGCCTTCTCAAGCATATCGGAAGCTAAGCTGATCAGGTCCTCGGTGTCCTCCACCCGCACCCGGGCTTGCTCCGCCAGGTTCTCTGTCTCCCGCACTGTGCCCTGGATGTTCCTCAGCCTGTTGAGCTGACTCGCCAGTGTGTTGTTGATGTCTTTGAGACGATCCATGAGCCCCTGATCTACATCTGAAATAAACAATATAAAAAAGAGGAAGGAAAATTAATTACAGCAGGAAGAGAAACTGGAGCAGCAGCTTACCATGACAGGCAACATGTCAGTAGGTTAATCCCCTATTGAAAAGGGACCAGCAAAGCTGTTTCATAAGTCAGTCAGCTTGAGATCAAAGTCGTCATCAGAATATGCACCAAATATGAGAAATGAAAAGTCATTAACTACTATTAAGACAATCCTGCTGGGTGTTGGAACTGACTCTGGTGGGGGATTTTTGTGTTCAGAATCATGTTTCACCTCTATCTGACTTAAAAAAAGACAACAGAGCTGCTCCTCAAGAGGTATGAAACATCTGCTTTGTGAATTCTCTTTAGCTTAACTCCTAGAAGGTAAAAGAGATGGAGCAATAGAGGGGCTCTACATTAATTCCCCTCTTTGGGCAATAGTGGCTAGTCCTGAGCGAGACACAGCCTCTATACGGAGCAGCTAGATGTGCGGAATAGCAAACCCAACCCAAACTGCCCCCCAAACCAAAGGGATGACAAAAGCTGGTAGGATAGAGTCTTGGTTCTCCAATCTGTAGGACCTATGAGCCCACCAGACTTACCCAAATTTTTCAACTACCAGGTAACTCCCCACAACAATATCTTAATAATGGAGCCATAAAAGCACCCTCATGATCAGGGGCAATTACTTTTGAAAAGGTGAGAGTGTTATTAAGACATGAAGCACAGGCCTACAGGCCTCCAAAATTAAGATTTTTCCCAATTACATTGCCTTGACCTTGCAGCACATCTTAAGTATTGAACATGAACATTTGACACATTTCAAAAACATACTACAAACTACGTATCAAGTAGAAAAATAGAATTAAGTGCTACAGGTGTGCAAAGGTAGTTTTTGTTGCATTTAACTTGCCTCTTAGGGAAGAGCAATGAGGCTGGTGAAGGGTCTAGAGCAGATGTCTTATGAGGAGCAGCTGGGGGAACTGGGATTGTTTAGTCTGGAGAAGAGGAGGCTGAGGGGAGACCTTATCACTCTCTGCAACTACCTGAAAGGGGGTTGTAGCGAGGTGGGGGTCGGTCTCTTCTCCTGAGTAGCAAATGATAGGACAAGAGGAAATGGCCTCAAGTTGTGCCAGCGGAGGTTTAGATTGGATATTAGGAAAAATTTCTTCACCCAAAGGGTTATCAGGCACCGGAACAGGCTTCCCAGGAAAGTGGTTGAGTCACCATCCCTGGAGGTATTTAAAAGATGCGTAGGCGTGGCTTAGGGACATGGTTTAGTGGTGTACTTGG